ATTAAGACTTGTTTTATGATTTATTTTCGATAATGTTCCATGGTCTTGTAATGGCATATGTCAATTGTTAACACGATCTAGAATCACCTAGGACATAAGCCTCCAGGTACATATGTGAGGGATGATTTATTTTGATTAGGTTAGCCTCTGGGCTGTGCCTATGAAGGATTATCTTAATTGGTTAATTCAGAGGAAACACCTACCCCAAGAGAGGGCAGCACTCTTCCCTGGGTTTGAGTTCAAGGCTACATTAAAAGGAGGCTCATTAAGCATAAGTGTCATCAGTCTCTTCTTCTTGATTGTGGATGCATTATGACCAGCTGCCTCAAGCTCCTGCCACTGTGATTTCTCTGCTCTGATGGACTGTAACCTCTGTGAACCAAAATAAACCCTTCCTTCCTTACATTGCTTTTGTCTGGTATTATATCCTAACAATGAAACAAGTAATTAATACAGGGCTGCTGAGAAGATTGTGTATTCTAAAACTGTTGGACAGAATATTCTATATATGTCTGTTCAGTCCATTTCATCTGGTGCCATTGAACTCTGAAGTTTCTTTGTTGTGTTTTTTGGGAATGAATTATCTATCTATTAATAGAATGGGGCATTAAAGGCTCCCACTATTTTTGTACTTGGATCTATTTGAATGTTATGTCCAGAAGTGGACCACGACTGTCCCAATGTTTAATGCATATGTAATTGTATCTTCTTTAATTTTTAAAATTTATTTTTATTATGTGTATGAGTGTTTTGCCTGCAAGTATGTATAAGTGTATGATGTGTATTCAGTGGCTGTGGGGGCCAGAAGATAGCATGGATCACATAGAAATGGAGTTATGAACAGTTGTTAGCTACCATGTGGGTGCTGGGAACCAAAGCCAGATCCTCCGGAAGAGCTCCCAGTGTTCTTAATCACTAATCCATGTATCTAGCCTGTTATATCTTCTTGGTAGAGTATTTCCTTTTTGATGTGCAGTGATGTTTTTAAAATCTCTCCTTACTAATTTTGGCTTAAAATCCATTTAACAGATCTAAGTATAACTGCTCCTGCTTTTAACAGCTTCTATTTGGTTGTTATATAGGTTTCCATCCTTTTGTTGCTCATCATGGGTGTGTCTTCGCTGGGAAATGTGTTTTATGAAGACCACAGATAGTGGGATCTTATTTTTAAGTCCAACCTGCTAATGTGTATCTTTCAATTAGCAAGTTAAGATTATTTGCATTTAGGGTTATTATTGAGGTAGGATTGCTGATTCCTTAATGTTAGAGTTGGTGCAACACGCTTTCTTTCTCCAAATATCTATAATGTTCCTTATCTGTGTCGGGCAGTCTACGTTAGGTTCACTGTGCAGAGAAGCAAAAGATATATATGCAGATAACCACTGCGTATAATGCAAGGCAAAGTGCACAGCAAAATAGCTAAGCACAGGAAGGTATGAGACTAGAAAGGGAGTCACTGGCTAGAGGAAGGAGCAGGGGCAATGTCCCAGAGGGAGAAATAGTCAGGGACAAGAAAGGAGAAGAACATGTTGAGAACAAAAGTAGCTCCATCTTGAAAGGATTTAATATGTGTCAGGGTTCGAATTAAGTCATTTGATAGAATGATGCTAGGCTTATTTAGACCTGTAATGTCATGCTGTGCTCATCCCTAGCCATGAGGAGTCACTTAAGAAGATGAGATGGGTAAGCCATGGCCAGGCCCCACTCCCTCTGACAGCTGGGTACATGATGGGTTAAATAAGAAACTGGTTCAGAGGCTATGGAACTGATATAAAAGGACAGTGCTGCTAGTCTGAACCCCATGAATCATTATCCAGATAAAGAAGAGGGAGTAGGCTCGGTGATTCAGACTTTGTACTTCTCTTGCAGAGGACCCAAGTTTGGTTCCCAGTACCTATATCAGGCAGCTCCACAACTGCATGTAACTCCAGCTTCAGTGGGACCTGATACCTCTGGCCTCTGGAGGCACCTACACTCACATGCATATAGTCACATAGAGAAACACAGATATACATACTTTTTTAAAAAAGATTTTTTTAAAAAAAAAGAAGAGAGAATGGATTTGAAGTAACTTCTGAACAGTTATGTAAAGGCCTAGTGATTGGACAGAGGGGATGGAGAAAGAAGAATCAAGGATGACGTGTGCGTTCTGGTTTTGGTAAGTACGGGGTAGTGATACTTCAAAGTCTTCCAGGGAACATAGGAAAAAGAAGAGGCTTAGGGGAAGAAAATGTGTATGCTGTCAATTTGTCTGACTGTCAGGCAGGCTTTTCAGGCTGGAAGAGTGATTTAAGTCAGGGCCATTGGGTGTCAGTCCTGTGAGTACCATGAGACTTTTTCTGTTCATCACCTATTCTCAGTGCCTAACACAGAAAGTGTTGTATGTCCATAGTCAAAGCTTAATAACATTGCCATTAGGCAAATATAGTAATTATGATTGTCTACATGTGTGAGAATGCATATAAGAATGTACATGTCTGTACATTAATGCATGTGTGGGTGGGGCAATGCCTTCATACATGAGGCACTGAGCTGACTTTCATTTGCTTCTAACAAGAACATATGGATTAATACTATTCCCATTTGACAGATTAGAAACTGAGTCATGGAAGAGGCAAGTAAACTACCAGGGATTTCACAACTAAGGAGTGGTAAAGCTAGAATTTAAAGTGAAGTAAACTTCAAGGTTTATTCTCTGCCTTTGCTATTGGGTTCCTGTTTTATTTTAAGCTGTTTTCACTTTAGGGGCCAGAGAGCTGGCTCAGTAGTTAAGAGCCCTGGCTACTCTTGGAGAGGACCTGGATTTGGTTCCCAGTACCCACATGGTGGCTCACAACTGTTCCTAACTCCAGTTTTTCTATAACCTTTAACAAATCTTCATATATCCGCAATTGGGCTGTTTCTCCACATTTACAACACAGCTATGGCCCACGCTTCTGTGTGGTTGGCTTTTTTTCAGTTACATATTTTATAATCCATTGTAAAATCCATATCAGTGCTGCCATTAGATTCCTGGCTTTTTCAAAACTCCTATGGTTTTTCATTCCTAGCACCATCATCCTACTGACTTGGGCCAATTTGTTGCCCAAGTCTTCTAGGGTCCCTTGCCCCTGGTGCTATTAGACAAACCACATAACATATCTTTATCTGAATTTTTCACAGTTTCTATCTTTGTGGGGGGAAGGAGGGGAATGACTTACAAAGAAACGAACACCCAGCGCCCTGTTCTGCTTTGAGGCTCAGCGGCTCGCCAGGTCCAGATCACTTCCTCGCCCCACCCACAGTCACTGTTAGCTTTTGCTCATGCCTTGTGGGCCCATGGTCTTGCCCCAGGTCAGTAAATACTCCCTCTCAGGTCCACGCAAGCGAGATACCAAGGCCATTCCTTTCTGCACATCACACCGCTTCTCTTTCTAACCCAAGATGGCACCCAAAAGCCCCTCCCTGCATTCAAGTCAATTCTCCACAGCAGGCCCCGCCCCTTGGAGGAATCAGAGCCCTTGGGACACAGCATGACATGGGTGCACTTATATACATGCAAGCAAAGCACTCTTACACATATAATAAAAATAAAATTAAAAAATATTTTACTTTAAATAAGATTTTCTTTCTTTCATTAATTAATAAAAAGAAAAGTTTCAGCATGCAAATGCTATATCTGTTTTCAGGTTTAATAGGTTCAAATTGATCTGAAATTTTATTGAACCTTTTAACTTATCAAATGCACATTAAACAGGATTTGGCCTGAACATCAACATCCTCATAAAGTGTTCCTTTGCATCATCTCTTTCCTCCTGGTATTAACCTCACCTTCTAGTCTTCCAGGCTTCTTGGGATGCTGCTTTTGATACATACTATTTTGTATTGAACAGTTTTTTTAATTTGTGGATGTTTCCTAAGGGTTGAGACTTAGTATTATGTTTTTCTGTATCTTCAAATAGCTGATACTACGCATGGATTATAGTAAGTGCATAATGGTGCTCACTGAATGAACGAAGAATGAATCCTGCTCCTACAGTGCACTTCCCATCATCTCTGAGTTTTCAGTCTAGCAAGGGAAACCAAATTATATCTCTCTTCTCATTGTGTATAGAACCTGGCATTGAGATGTGTTGGCCACATGGCATTCATTAAATGAGGTAACAGTAAAGCTTTGTGCCCCAATGCTCTGCATCACCCAGTGTCCAGAGGGAATGCAGAGGGGAGCTCTCTCTCCCCCAGTCTGGAGAGGAGCATGTGTTTCTCCCAAAGCCAGAGCCTGGTGTAGATGTCATGATTGGTTTGCTGAGCCCATGCCGGGATTGGAAATCTCCTGGGATTCCTTTACTACCCACTATCTCCATTTCTACCTTTTGATGTAATGGGATCTAGGCCTGCTCACAACATCCTTTTTAGCCCCTGTTCTCTAAAACCTATTTCTATTAGTCCTTGCTATGTATTTATTTAGGAAGAAAGTCAACATTTGGAGTCATTATGGCATCTGGTTAGTGTTTGCTGTGGGGTGGAGTATCCATTTCTCCATCATGTGGCAAAAGTGCGGCAGCTGTAATATCTCATTACAGAGCTTCGCTCTATTTAATAAAAAAATAGTATTGCTCTACTTAACAAAATTATCTTCTTCCCCTCACCCCCTTAAAAAACCCGATCTGTGGTTTCAATGTCTTTCTCCATAATAGCTCTAGATGGTTTGCATGTGATATTAGTTAGCCCCAGAATCTGCTTTCAATTCATTTGCTTCAGATGGTATTTTCACTGTGAGCCATTAGTCACCAAATGTTGACAAGCATTTGTAAGGATGCCATCCCTCCCTTTGTTTATATGCAAGTGCAGTGACTAAAATGATTTATTTACGCTTTAATTAAAATTTGTGGATAGACCAGTGATTTTTAGCAGTGACTTTTCTAATTTGTGGGCTTAAGAAAGAAAAAAAATCAATAACCTGATACCATTTATGTTTTTATAGTTACCCCGGGCATTTTTAATGCAGACCTGCCACTCACCTGCAGTACCACTCCAAGGAGAGTGATCCTCACCACATAAATCTTCCCCAGCGGCCAAGAGGGTCTATATTTCAGAGTCACTTCCCTTTTATGTCGGCTGTAAGTGAGATGTTGCATGCTTGCCTTTCTCATGGTTTTCATGGCAAGGTACAAGGCTAAAATGAATATTGAAAGAAAATTGATGGACTGTAAGTTTTATAATACTTGACCCAATCTGTACCAACTGCTTAGAATTTTAATAATTCAAACACATTGATTTTGGTTCCTGCCTATTCCATTTTCCACATTGAAAATGTACCCGATAGGGTCTTTGGAAAGAACATCCCCAAAACGCCAGGCTTTTATGGGAACTTAATATATTCGACATTGCAGGTGCATAAATCTCCATGAAATTGCACCGAGTTAATGCATTTACTGGTGCACACAATTCAGTAACTACTTTGTAAAAGTCCAAATAAAGATAGATAAGACAGGTAGATATGCAGAAATAATGAGCAAATGTTGCACTGTGTATTAGCAAGATGAGGCCATTGGTTCCGCAAGGCTATCAGCCTAACTGGAAAAGAAATTCATTAATTTTTGAGGAGTTGGAGATGGTTTTAATTGCTGATTTTCAAAGTCTATGGAAAATGAACTGTTTTTGCACTATCTGCCAGACTCAAATTATCATCTCCTAATAGTCAGGCTTGGGTGTGTGGGGGTAGAGTGATGACACAGAAGGTGGGAAGAGGAACGCTGGGGTTTCGCTCACCATTTTGCCTCCCTGAGATAAAGGCCCTAATGACAAGTTCTCTTACAAAGGCTCCCATTCAAGCCCCCCCCCCCCCCCCCCCTCCTTTTAAAGCCCTTTTTTCC